TTTTTTTTAGACTTTAAATTAAAATATCTCAACAACTATTAAACCAAACTTGATAAAAATTTTTTTATTTTAATTCTATTAGTTATAGAATTAAAATAAAAAAAATCTATCAAGTTTAGTTTAATAGTTATTGAGATATTTTAATTTAAAGTTTTAAAAAAACTTACTAAAAACAATTTGCCTGTTTCTACTGACAACCCCCATATGATATGCTCCGGATCTAACAATGCTACGCATTTTCCTAGTGCTAACACGGTACATATTTTGAATATTGGGCGAGTTAAAAAAATAGGGTCAATTCCGAATTGATAATTGATTGAGAATATTAAATAATATTAAGGTTATTATTAACTAAGAACGATGATTGGGATAGGCTTCAGAATGATTAATTTTAATAATAAATATTTGTATGAGAAACGATCGTACAATTTTAGATGTAAGCTTGCCTCTTATAATATATAAATTAAATTGTACGTAAATGATTAGCCAAATGCATATATGTATATATATATATATTTGGTACCCGGGTACCCCGAAATAAATTAAACTACTAAACTAAAATGGGACGAAAGGAGTTTCATTTGATTTGTGTTAAATTTTCACACATTTGAGTAACCAAACAAATCTGTGTTTATAGTCACTATTTCAACATATAAATGTAATTTATTTGGTTCTTTTTTTTTTATAACCCTACATATCTTCCCTACGACCAACTGGTCGTTATTGTTCGCTTTCTTTATATTCTTTTCATTATTTCCTGATAAATTTATAACTATGGCATACTCTGATAGAATATCATATCGTCCGTTATATCAAAAACAAACTTATTCAATTTGGAAATTTCCAAGATTATTTAGAAGTATCGCTGCATGCTTATCGCTCGTATTCTTCATTGTAATACCATTTATTCATCTAAATAAACGTCATATCGATTCAAATTCTTCTATATTTCATAAAGTAAATGATCATAAACCACTTTTTAATAGTATTAGTAATAATATTATAGTTGTCGTCGATGGTGATCAACAAGCAACCAGTCTACAACCTATTTATTGTAAATTGTCTAAAAAAGCTGAAAATGTAAATACTCATGTAATTGTTACCGGAAAAAATCGTGGAATGGGCGGTACAAGATTAATAAGATTCAATTCCCTATTTTCAAATTGTGATGTATCTGTATATGATTTAGAACTTCGTAAAGGTATTTCTTCCAATGAAAATATCTTACCTTTGGTATTTCAAGGAATAAATCATGCATTAGATCAAATTCGACCGGATGTTTTGATTTATATAAATGATCCTGAAAATGAAGCGATGCGTGGTGTTGATGCCGCTTTAGTTGCTGCTTCTCAATCAAATAAAAATATTACAAAGATTTCAATACCTATCGAACACACGAAACATTTATTGTGGCTACCTGATTTATCTATTGAGGCACTTAAAAGTATATAACTCTTTTTTATTTTTTATTTTTTTTTTTATTTTATTTTTTATTTTATTTTTTATTTTTTAATTTCTTGCTTCGTTTTTTCATATCCTTTATATACTAATTCATTCATTACATCTTTTTATATTACAGACTGGAACACTCCAAAAATTCAAATACAAGTGATCACACAAAATCGTCCTCAATCTCTAACACGTCTTATGCAATCTCTCAATTCATCCATTTATTTTGGTGATGATGTATCTCTCACTATAAATATGGATCGAGGTGCTGATCCTGTGACCATTAAGTTTTGTCAAACATTTAAATGGACTTTTGGCTCAAAAATCGTTCGACATCGCGTAGTTCAAGGTGGTTTACTGATTGCTGTAATAGAATCTTATTATCCTATTGATTATAATGAGTACGCTATACTTTTGGAAGATGATGTTGAACTTTCTCCATTTTATTATATATGGGCAAAATATAGCGTCTTAAAATATAGATATGGTATTGATAGAAGTTTATCTGGAAGAATGTTTGGAATTAGCCTTTATAATATAAAAATTAATGAATTAAATTTGGCTGGTCGTAGACCTTTTAATCCTGCTCTTAGTTTGAGAGGAACAATATATCCTAATCAATCTCCATATCTTAGTCAAGTACCTTGTAGTTGGGGTGCTTTATATTTCCCTGAAATATGGCATGAATTCCGTATTTATCAAAATGCTCGATTAAATGATATTCATGGTCTTAAATTACAGGATATAACCGTTCCAGAAAGTAGATCTAATCGTTGGAAAGAATCTTGGAAACGTTTCTTTATAGAACTTGCTTATCTTCGTGGCTATGTAATGCTCTATCCTAACTATGAAGACTTTATCAGCTTTTCCACTAATCATGTTGAGAAAGGTGTTCACAATCGTAAAGACGTAAAGAAAAAAGAAGTGTTTGGTCTCCCATTAATGGATAAAGATATTGTATTGGATGGATTACCTGGTGGTCGTTTACCAAACTTTAAGGATTTACCAACTATGGATCTTTGGGGAAAGGTTACACCAACAAAAGAATTAATTCAACGTGGACGTAATCTACACTTGAAAATTTCACGTTGTCCTCCTAATGATTTTGATGAACTCACTTACGACCCTCAAGACCTATTATGCGTTGATGAAGAGACTGTACGCATTAAAATGGAGAAACAATCGAAATCTAAAATCGATGAAATTCTAAATACTTCAAAAGACGTAAAGATAATTGAACAAATAACTAAGGAAGATAGCCATGCAGAAAACCCGACAATTGATGATAAAATTTCCACTCCTGATGACAAAGAAAAGATATTAATTTGAAAATGAGAAAATTACTCTTTTTCACCTGAAATCACTTATAATGCACTTCTGAAATAGATGATGAAAAAAAAAAGATTTATAATATATATACATAATATTTCTAATTATCTTATTAATTGCTGATATCTTTTGTATTTAGTACCTTTTTGCCATTGAATGGCGTCATAGCTTTAATTGTGAATATAATAAAATAAATAAAAATAATAAGGACGAAATCAGTTAAGCTCCGATGCATATTTGGTTCGATATTGATCTTTATTAAATCAACTTATAAATATTACATTCAATATAAGGCATAATATTACTATATTATACTCGCTGCACCATCTCACAGATAAATTTACCTGTCAGATTATATTGGAACATATATAGTCTATATAGGATAATATTTATTGTAAATATGTAATTTAATACTGTAATTTAAAAAACCATATTAATTGAACCTATATATAGAATAGTGAGAATGTTGTCCTACTTATCTGGTTAATTCATTCTTTGAAACCATACATAGACTAAGGTTTTAAACTATGCTTTAAACTGTTTTATAATAATAATGCTTACTTGGACATATTGTTATACTATATATTATATAGAATACATAAAATGAATATTTTGCATTTATACATTGCATTACAGATTACATTTCCTCGGACAGCAAATCACGTATTGCAAATTGGGTTAATTGTATTAGTTGTTGGTAAAATGACCTTGTCGGTGATAAGCTGTCGGTGAAGTGAAATAATATGTATTCATCAGTGTTGGCTTGGGTTTTACCATAAAATCCCGAAAGCCATTTTCCCGAAAGGACATAATACCGACCAAATTGGCCAGCATTATAACTAATGCCGGCTAACTTTGTCGGGATTAGGTCCTTTCGGGAATATGTCTTTCGGGATTTTGTGGTAAAACCGACCATTGGACCAGACCAATTTGACCAGTCTGGTCAAAGGATCAAATTGGTCAAATAGTGCATTTAAATATATAATATATATAATTAGACTTTTAGAAGGTTTATCGATCTTTAATCCTAGTTCTTTTACAACTTTGTGAGCGATCATGCTAATAGAGGCTCCACTATCGATAATAGCAGGGTAAGTACGGTCTTGTAAGTCTATAAAACATTTAACTGGAGTTATGTTGCTATTGTATTCTGAGATAGGCTTGGTGTTTTCTTGGTTCATTTTGGTAATATAAGTAGTAAGAGCAGTATGAATAGAATAGTTATCTAAAAGTCATTCCCAATTGTTAGAGATTTTGGTATTGGGGTTGTGATTAGATTTTTTGGCCATATTGATATTTTGGTAATAAGGTGAAGGTGAGCAATTTGGTCTAGGTTTCTATCTTTCTTGATTTCTGTCTTTCTATCATGAGAGTAAATTTTTTCTCTACTTCTATTTCTATATCTATCACATGATTGATTTCTGTTTTTGTTTTCATCTTGAGATTGAGATCTATTAAAAGATTAATAGTTTCTTGATGAAGAGGAGCTATATTGAGAGTAATCACAAGACCTTCTACTTTTATCTTCTTTTTTAACTCGACACTCTCTAATAAAATATTTTTTATTTTTATATATATATATATATTTTTTTTTTTTAACTCTTTGATAGTCTTGTTACTACCTTTATTAAAAGATAATTATTATATATACAAAACACATGTAAAATATTTAAACTAAAATAATCAGGTGTGATATTATCTGGTTGCTTCTTGAGTACCTAGATGTGACCTGTCACACTGCACTATAAATAGAACAAAAGACATTGTCAGCTTTGCCTAAGAGTTAAAACTTAATTTTTTTCTATCTAGATCTTGGCAAAAAGGCTTCAGTAAGCCTGTTTCTCTATTCAATAAAACTAAGAAAAACAAAAAAGAAAATAAAACAATATTGCAAGAAAGGGGAGATAAGAGAAACAACTAAAAGAAAAAGTAACTATAAGAGAGAAAAAATTAAAAACCTAAATATAAAACTTTAATATAACTATATAAGAAAAAGATAAGAAAAAAAACAAGTAAAACTCTTAGACTAGGCTAAACAACATAATAAAAGAAAAATAAAAGAAAGTGCACTATTGTAACTTGTGCAAGGCTTAAAAAATTATATAACAAATACAATATCTGTATATCTCTACTATAAGACTTTGCTTTAATGTATTAGTTTCTTTCTAACTATATGACCAAATCCAAATAAGTTTTTAACTAAGAACTAGTCAATAGGCCTTGTTATATGAAATAGTGATGTATTTATTACTAAACAAAATATATACTTGCAATTTACTAGGTTGACTGAATTTAAAAGGAGTAAACAATGCCAATCTTTTGACAGGAGTAAGCTGTTTTGCCCACTTTTTTTGAAAATTTTGTTGTAGCTACAAATGGATAATAGTAAAAAGTATAGATCTTGTATTTTTCTTAAAAGAGAGTATATATTTCTTTAAAAATAGTAAAATAAGTAGATCTGAGCGCACTGCTAATATTCTTTCTGGTAAGTGATAAACTCTAAACTTGTTAACAAATAGTATATAAGAACTATTTCTAAATAATAAATGTCGGGGATGATGCTGAAATTGGCTAATGCTAAAATTTAGAGTCCCCATTTAAATCTATAATACCTACTAAAATTCACATATACATTTTTACTAACAACACTA